AACAAACAACTGCTCAGACACATTTGTGGTCTATACTGCAACTTTAGCGGGTCTTAGTTACAGTTTCTGGGGGTTAGTCCATAATATGTCATGATCAGCAGTTTGAGCAACGCTAATGCACTCAAAATCTCGGTCACGATGGCTTGAGATTTCGGATTAGAACAATCAGCGGCGGCTACTGAACAGTTCCACTCACCCACTTTAGTTCTCAAGACTTTGGCCTAACATGTGGTATGCTTCCCAAACGCTTTTCAAAGTTGCCGCACGCGCTAGGATTGCTTCTATCAGATTGATAACATCTAGAAGTTACCTTTCTGATAAATCAGGCCAAATTTGAGAGTAACGAACCCAACCACATTCTAGAATTCTTAAAAGTAACAAAACTCTACCCGAAAATATAAAAAGGAAACCGAATAAACAGCCAGCTACAAAAACCGAATTACAACACCACCCTTATATAATGACGCTTTATAAAAGAACTGGTCTGCAATAGAAACACAAATCCTAAAACTACCCGATTCGGCGCGAAATGACCTTTGTGTGCAGGTAAAGTAACCCAACTCAATAGTGAAAAATCGAACATGATGAGATTCGAACCTCAGTGTTATGGTCAGAAAGCAAACATTGTAACCACTCGCCAACACAAGTACGTGCACATTATTTACCTTATTCGGACTATTGTCCTCATCTTTGTCACCATATTTATTACAACGTTTTCCTCAAGGACACATGGCATAGTGGATAAAGGCGATGGTTAGATCCAGTGACAAGACCCAAAGAGTGTGAGTTCAATACCCGGTTAAGGCAGTGGAGAACTTTCAGAGGGAAATTAACAGGAGATAACTGATAAGTGACATCAATCAAACATGGCACGTTGAACAGTCTACCCCAGTGAGCGAAATAAAGGGTTCAGTTCGACATTCCAACCACCTGAAGAAAGCCGGAGCGTACAACGGCCGAAACGTTGTAATAAATATGGCGACAAAGATGAGGACAATAGTCCGAATAATGTAAATAATGTACATAATACCTCATCTCAGAAATATAGACAGACTCACAAGTACGTGCATACAGGCATACAAATACTCACCAGCGAGAATGTAAAGAAACATGTGTGCGTGTACGTGTATACACTCACAACATTTGTATACATATTGATATTGCTTATACAGATTTAAAGAAATACACAAAAAATGAGTGTGTGTCTGTGTGCGTGAGAGAGAGAGAAAGAAAGAAGGAGAGAAAATGCGTGTGGCGTTGAGAGTCTGTGTGTGTGAAATTGAATATATTTATGCCTGAACAAATTTTTGAAGTTTCAATTTGGTTTAAAAAAAATTACGAATAAAGAACATTCTTGTTTGCCCGATTTTTCTGAATTCAGTTCATGAAAACTGTATATACAAAGGAATCGTCCAATTTGATTACATGAGATCCCCCCCCGCCACTTGTAATATTACAGGATTATGAATTGACTCGAGGTATAAGTACTTTTAGTCAATGGCCTCGAGGTAAACATTAACTTATCAGAAACTTCACGTTAATGTAGAAAACCCAACGGACATTTTTTAGTTAAATTTTGGATGAAACAGAATTTTGGCAGCAGTAAAGGAATCATTACAAAAATATATATTACCAACAATCGAATCTTCATATTTCTAACCTTTTCTGCATATTAAACTTAAGAGAATCTACAAAAGGAGAAAACGCCTTATTGTTGCGTCTGTTACAATTTTAATGGAAATCTACTAAGAAATGAAAAGGATTATTTACTTTTCAATTACTGAGACCACGGTGACGGTGTTAGAAATAAATCAGACAATGTAAATAGCAAATAGAAGCAAATACGTCCCTCAAAATAAAAGTTCCGATTATTGGCTGGGCTCGAACACCGATCAATGGCGTCAATAATAACAACAACGGATTTACGTACAATTGTGTTGAGCCGAGGGAAAAGATTATATCTAAGAATAATTATGTCTTGTGTAATATAAACGATTTTTTCAGTATTAAATTACGGACTAATTGATATACCTGCGTTCTGATAGTTAGGTGAGATGTGTATTTGTAGCCTGATACAGATATGAACAGAATTTTGATAAATACACTGATATTTGCTGGATTCTTTCATTCTATGATGTTTGATATATATTTATCGTTCACGCAGCTTGACCTTCCCTATTTATAGAAGAAATGGGTACATTTTGTCTACAAGATTTCAAGAATTCAAGTATTTAATCTATATACGTAAACAATTTTACGTTGGTTGATTATTATATTCTTATAGAAATATTTGCGAAGTTAAGTGTGGTACAAATCGACATTTTGGAGCATATTGGACTGAAACATTGTGTAGAGCCAATCTTACAAGTAGTAAAAATATACATGCACTGAAAATCAACATTCAAAACTTAGGTTTCTAAGTTCGAATCACTGGCAGTAATTAGAGAATGGAACAGCTTCCGTTACAAATTTTATGAATGTGCTTGTGCTCACCAATGCC